TATTTATCGTCAGTAAGTTGCAATGACATAGGAGCATAAATCGAAATCGATTAGTTCGACAATTTTTTGATATTTTCAATCACGAAGGCAATATTGTGAAAATTGATAGAGACAAATATTCATCTCTAGAATAACTCTAATAACTCTGAGCTTGGTGTAGGAATTAAATTTTCATTTTGTAATCATTTTCAATGCATAACAATATGAATTTTGGATGATTTGCCCACCCACCTCCTCAAATAATTTTCAATTATTATTTCTACCAAACCCAATAACTTGTCTAATGTAGATATTTTTGTTATTATGTTACCTAGGAACAATTCAACATTAATGAAATAATGAAAATGAATTTGTTAAATTTTCTTTAGAGATGATTTCGACTAGTCATAAGGGCGACTATAGCAGTACTATTCTTGATTTAGCAAAACTCTGAACTTCTATTTTTCAAATCATTTCAAATTAGTGCTCCTCAGGAAGAACCTTTCATAGATGCGATACTATATCTATATTCTTTGAATACCTTCCAAAGATAACTTTCAATCAAAGATAAGGGGGAAATTCCAACTATTTTATATTGTTTCATACCAAACTCTTATTTATAGACAATTTTGAATGAATTTTACTCGGGGATTAGGAAGAACCTTTCATAGATGCGATACTATATCTATATTCTTTGAATACCTTCCAAAGATAAGGGGAAAATTCCAACTATTTGATATTGTATTCATACCAAACTTTTATTTATAGACAATTTTGAATGAATTTTACTCGGGGATGATCCTTTACAATATGACATCATACCTGAATTTTTTGAATGCTTTACGTGAATGATTTCGAATCGAAAATCTCATTATTTCTATACCCTATCAATAATAAACATGCACTACATTTGTTTTCTGAATGACTTTGAATCAATATTACTCAAGGCCTTTGTTCTATAGCAACAACTTTTCTGAATTTTGAAAATACCTTCAATTATTTATATCAAATATCATGTCTGAATTTTCAAAATAAATATTTTTCAAAATCATTTCTCATCATTTCTCAACTTTAAAAAAACACTAATTACTTTTATTTGGTAGATGATATTGAATCAATATTACAAAGAAATAACTTTCCTTCTTTATAGCAATACGGCTGGCTAGATGTGATTGAAAAGCACTCGAAACTTTTATTTCATACATAATTTTGAAATGATTTACTTACAGGGATAAATCGTTCAATAAAACACCACGTCTGAATTTTCTAAGTATCTTTCGAAGATAGCTTCGAACCTAAGATGAATTCAAATCGATGATTAAGAGAAAGTCCCATCATTTCTGAACTTTATATCAAGCACACACTACATTTATTTCCTAGGCAATTTTGAACCGGAAGGGAATATATTTCATCAATATGACATACTGTCTGAATGTTTCAAATAACTTTTTAAGATTTTGAATGGAAAATGAAGGGACACTCTCGTCATTTCTGTGCTCTATTTATCTCAAACAATATATGTTTATTTCATAATTTTTCATCAATATAACACCCAGTATTTCAAAATATATTTAGATGATATATTTCAACCCAAGATAACGGATAAAATTTCAACAATTCAGTACTCATTTTATAACAAAAAATCACCATATTTACTTCCTAGATATTTTTTTGAATCGTAGGGGAAAAGTTTAATCAATATAACACAACTTACAACAATATAAATTTTGGATGATTTTGCCAACCCACCTCCTCATGCTCCAACAATTATTAATTAATATGACTTTTATTTATCCGTAGGGAGATTTTTTCAATAGGTATCTCAATACCTTTTCTGAATTTTTGAAATATCTTTCGTTATTCATACCGAACATCCAATACATTCAATTAATAGATGATTTTAAATCAATATTATTCAGGGTTAATCGTTTATCAATATAACAACATGTCGAAATGTTTCCAATACTTTTACAAGACTATTTTGTATCGAAGATACCTCATTTTTATACTCTATTGCTACCAATGCCACTGAAATCACTTCGTAGACTATTATACATCAAAAAATATAAGGGATATGCACCACATTTACTTCGTAGATAGTTTTGAATCGATTTTTCGTAGGGAAAATTTTTAATTAATGTAACACAACTTACAAACAATATGAATTTTGGACGATTTTGCCGACCCACCTCCTNCATTTATTTCCTAGGCAATTTTGAACCGGAAGGGAATATATTTCATCAATATGACATACTGTCTGAATGTTTCAAATAACTTTTGAAGATTTTGAATGGAAAATGAAGAGACACTCTCGTCATTTCTGTGCTCTATTTATCTCAAACAATATATGTTTATTTCATAATTTTTCATCAATATAACACCCAGTATTTCAAAATATATTTAGATGATATATTTCAACCCAAGATAACGGATAAAATTTCAACAATTCAGTACTCATTTTATAACAAAAAATCACCATATTTACTTCGTAGATAGTTTTTTGAATCGTAGGGGAAAAGTTTAATCAATATAACACAACTTACAACAATATAAATTTTGGATGATTTTGCCAACCCACCTCCTCATGCTCCAACAATTATTAATTAATATGACTTTTATTTATCCGTAGGGAGATTTTTTCAATAGGTATCTCAATACCTTTTCTGAATTTTTGAAACATCTTTCGTTATTCATACCAAACATCCAATACATTCAATTAATAGATGATTTTAAATCAATATTATTCAGGGTTAATCGTTTATCAATATAACACCATGTCGAAATGTTTCCAATACTTTTACAAGACTATTTTGTATCGAAGATTAGAGTACATTTTTGTACTCTATGTACAATGTCATTGAAATCACTTCTTGGACGATTGTACATCAAAAAATATAAGGGATATCCACCACATTTACTTCGTAGATAGTTTTGAATCGATTTTTCGTAGGGAAAATGTTTAATTAATGTAACACAACACTATAAATTTTGGAAGATTTTAGCCATTTTTTGTCTATTGTGTACAATGTCATTGAAATCACTTCGTAGACGATTGTACATCAAAAAATATAAGTGATATCCACCACATTTACTTCGTAGATAGTTTTGAATCGATTTTTCGTAAGGAAAATTTTTAATTAATGTCACAACAATATAAATTTTGGATGATTTTGCCCACCCACCTCCTCATCCTATTATGATTTATATTCATTCGTAGGGAGAATTTTTTTCGGTATACTCGACACCTTTTCTGAATTTTCAAAATACCTTTAATTATTCATACCAAACATCCAATACATTGATGATTTGAATCAATATCACTCAGGATTAATCTTTCATCAATATTACACCATGTCGAAATTTTTCGAATATTTTCACAAGACAATTTTGCATCAAAGATGAAGGGGAAACCTCATTTCTGTACTCTATTGTTACCAAACTATCACTAAACTCACTTCGTAGATGATTGTAAATCGAAAAATATAATAGACACTCACATTTACTTCGTAGGTAGTTTTGAATCGATTTTTCGTAGGGAAAATTTTCAATTAATATAACACGACTTTCAACAATATGAATTTTGGATGATTTTGCCCACCCACCTCCTCATCCTCGAACAATTATTAGTTATTATGATTTTTATTCATCCGTAGGGAGAATTTTTTTATAGGTATCCAACACCTTTTCTGAATTTTTAAAATACCTTCATTTATTCATACTAAACATCCAATACATTCAATTAATAGATGATTTTAAATCAATATTACTCAGGGTTAATCGTTTATCAATATAACACCATGTCGAAATGTTTCGAATACTTTTATAATACTATTTTGTATCAAAAATAAAGAAGACTAATCTTACTTCGTAGATGATTGTTAATCGAAAAATATAACAGACAATCACCACATTTACTTCGTAGATAGTTTTTGATGATAATTTTTATTTATAAGTAAAAAAGTTTGCTATGCTATTCGAAGACAAATTTTTCATTAATATAAGAGTGATTCTTCATTATTAAAACACTGGAAAACAATATGTAAATCCTTAGCACACCTTCCGAAGATGATCACCAATCGAATATAAAGGGGAAATATAAACAACTTTCTACTGTATTCATACAAACACTAACCAAATTTACTACGAAGATAATTTTGAATCGTTAATAATCGGGGACAAACTTCAACAACACCAGGTTTCAATACATTAGTAGATGATTTGGAATCGGAGATAAATGGTAAATTTCATAATTTCTATACTCGTGATAATTACTCAGTACTCATATTTCGTACATGATTTTGAATAAGTAGTACGCAGATATGATCTTTCTTCAATAAAATGTCATGTCTAAATTTTCGAAGATTACATAGTGGAATATGAAGGGGAGCATGTACTTTATACGGATACCAAATACTCACTACATTTACTTTGTAGAAAATTTTGTCATCAGAAATACTTCTTCAATTGAATTCGAATCGATGATAACCGAAAATCTCAAAGAGTCAGTACTCAATTTTTCTGAATCAATTTTACCCAGGGATTTTTTATCAATATAACACAACTGTAAAAATATGAATTTTGGATTATTTTGCCCGCCCACCTCCTCATTCTATAACAGTTATCAATAATTATTTTTTATAGGTTCAAAATTTTGATCTTTGCTACTTACGAATAATATGATTTTTTATCTATAAAGGTGTGATTTTTCTTAATACAACAATAGGAATAAATTTGACAAGTTAGATTTCGAAGATGATTATGAATCGATGATGAGGGCTACTAAAGCAATATAATTCCTGATTCAATACATACTCATATCTTTTTGTAACATCAGACATTTCTACCCAAGATTAACAGATATAATACAATGTATAAAGTCTTAGAATATATTCCGAAGATGATCTTGAATCAATGATAAAAGGAAAATTTTGCACTGTATTCATGCCATACTCATACCATATTCATACGTTCATAATTTTGAATCGTGTGCACTTGAAGATAACTTTTCACCAATTCAACACCATGTCTGAATCTTGTTCAATACTTAAACCAAGCATTACTCAAATTATACCAAATAAATCATATTTACTCCGTAGATAATTTTGAATCCATATTACTCAGGGATAACTTTTCAAAATTTCAAAAACCTTTCGAAGATTGTTTTGAATTGAAAACTTTACTTTTCAGACAATTTTGAATTAACCCAACTCTGAAATAACTTGATATAATACCATATCTAACAAACCACAACCATTCTGTATTGTATTTACACCTTGTATTTACCTTTGATCAATATAACACAAAGTCTGACTTTTTCAAATACCTTCTGAAGAAGTTCGAATCTAAGATGGATGAAAAATAAGTATCACAATTTCCAAACTTCATTTATACTTTTATATTTCGCAGGGATAATCTTTCTGTCATACTCGTGTACTCCATGTCCGAATTTTCTAAATAAATTTTGAAAATCACTGAATCGAAGATAAAGGGAAACTCTCATAATTTTTTTGCCATCTATACCAATATTTACGACAGTGACTTCGTAGAAAATTTTGAATTGACATTACTCAGGGATAAACTTTCATCATATAACACCTCCCATGTCTGGATTTTTCAAGAACCTTTCGAATATGAAGGGGAAATCTCATCATTTTTGTACGCCATCCATACCAACATTCACTACACTGACTTTATTGAAAATTTTGAGTGGATGTATCTCAGCGATAACCTTTCATCAGATAACACGTGTCTACTTTGAACAGAAGAATAAAGGAAGTGCAATTTCTTTGCGCTTTTGTGACCATACACTCATAAATAATTTCGAATTAATAATATTCAAGGGGATAACTGTGCATCAGTACGTTGTGTATGAATTTACCTAAGGTGATCTTGAATCAAAGATGAAGAGAAAACCTCCAGATTTTTTATTATATTTGTACCAAATATTGGCCACATTCAGTTCGTAGATAATTTTGAAAAGTTAATACTCATGCGTAAATTCTCAACAATATAACACCATGTGATTTTTTCAATACCTTTCGTAGATAATTTAGAATCGAAGACCATTTCTATACCATATTATTGATCTTTCCTTCCTGAATTTTTCAAATATCTTTCGAAAATGAATTTGAATCAATGATCAAGAGAAAAGCTCGTCATTCTTTTACTCTGTACCAAACACTTTCATCAATACAACACAATGTCGGAATTTTTTAAATACCATACATTCACTTCGTAGATAGTTTTGAATCAGGATTTTGCCCACCCACCTCCTCATCGTGTAATAGTTATCAATCAATGTTTTTTGAAGGTAGAAAATTTTGATCTTTTGCAACTCGGGAGTAATTTTTTATCAATAAGGGTGTGATTTTTTTATTAAAACAATGGGAATACATTTGGCAGGTTAGATTTCGAAGATACTCAAATCTTTCATTTCTCAAGACTTTTCAAGATCAACATTTTATAGATATAATAAATACTATGAATAAAATCTTAGAATACCTTCCGAAAATGATCTTAAATCGATGATAATGGGAAAATCTCTTCCTTTTCGTATGCCATTTATAACTAACATTCACTAAATTAGAAAACTTTTAATTGATATTACTCAGGGATAACCTTGCCTGAATTTTTCAAATACCGAGAATAAATTTGAATCGATGATCAAGAGAAAAGCTCATCGTTATTGTATCGATATTGATAAGGGAAATTCTTTCATCAATGTAACACCATGTCGAAATTTTTCAATCTAAATCAAAGATAATGGAAAAACCTCAACAAATCAATATCACGACATACCAAACATTACGGTTACTTCGTAGATAGTTTTGAATCAATATTACTCAAGAAATTTGTTTCATCAATATAACACAACTCACAACATATGATTTTGGATGATTTTGCCCACCCACCTCCTCATCATCCAACAATTATTAATCATCATTATTTTTTAAACGTAGGAAATCATTCTAATACTTCATTCATGATATTCATTCACCACTTCCATTTCTTACATAATTTTGACACATAATTTCGCAGGGATAACCTTTCTGTACTACAAACAGCATGTCTGAATTTTACTTTTTGAACATCACTCCGAGTCGAAGATAAAAAAAAATCTTATCATTTTTGTATCGTTACCAAAAACTCACTACATTTTCCTATAGGATTATTTTGAATTGATATTGCTCAGT